ATATATATGCATAAAACTTTTCACTGACACAAACTAAAGTAACAGAATTTGGGAAAGATTTGCTTGAAAAGGCCACATCTATATCTTCGACTCCTTTTAATATGATCCCTTGTTTGTTTGTTTTATGTTGTTTTTTATGCTTGTTGATAATCTGGAAGAAAACTTAATCTGAGGAGTTAGAAGCTATTTCACGTGCTTTATACTTGTAACAAAATGCTAAATATATACACCTGCTAGATTTAAGGCTGATGAACATTATAGGCATTTAAGAAAAAACAAAGAAAAAACTTCAAAATTAACTGAAATACACTTACTGTTTTTAAGAGTTAAAAGTGAGGCTTTTCAAAATGAAAGCGGGTGGTAAGTTTTCTAAGCAGATACTGTCACTGTATTATGGACCAAAAGAAAGCCCTGTATTTCCAACTGATCCATCTATGAAAAAAGTCGTGCTAAGACTGTACCAGAAACATGTAATAAAGCAATCATAAAAATGCATAAAATCCACAAAATGCATTTCCACGCTAACAACACGGAAATCAATCAACCCCTTGCCACCCCCACTCCCTGTCCCCAGTTCCCAAAGGGAAAATTCTTTGCCACCACTTTCAGCGATTTAAAAGAGGGAAAACACTGTCTCCTTCAAACTTAAATAAAAGGCTCTTTTGTACCTTAAGAGTGTAGTCTCATTAATGCAAAACTAAGAGCTTCCTGCCCAAGGTTAAACCCAAGCGACCACCACGGAAAGTAACTATTTCTGCATTCCCTGGGAGATGCAAGCAAGCGCTTAAAGCCAACGCAACGCAACAGAGAATAGGAAGGAGCCAAAGACATCACCACTCCAGAAGGCAAAAAGCCCTTCGGAAAGCTGGGAAAGCTCTACAACGCTGTTTACTCCTAAGAAAGAGGAGGGGCAGGAGTTGAGAGTGCGAGGGTGGTGCCACCCCCAAGCATCTGCAAATGTCTCCAGTTTCTGGCTCGCGTGGCCAAAGCCAGCGCCCCCGGAAGATGCTTCCGCGGCCGCTTCTCCCTCCATCCCACGGGCGCTCCAAGAAGGCCGCCCGGACCCGCCCGACGGCCGGCGCCGCATCCAGAGCCCTCCGCCCTCCGGCTCGGCCAGTGGCCCTCCAACAACTTACAGGGCCCGCGGGCAGCCGCGTCCCAGGCCGGCGCCGCCCGCGGCGCAGAAACCGCCCGCCGCCGAGAGGACCCGAGCGCAGCCGCCCCGGGAGGGACCGTGTTTTGGCGCACATTCAAATGGCCTCCAGGGGCCGGGAACGCACTTTGGCTTCCCCTGGCTCGATGCACGGCTGTCCCCAGCGCCGGCTCGGCCAATGCCCGGAGATGCGCGCGCGTGCACACAAGACACACACACACACACACACACACACACACACACACACACACACACACACACACACCTCTTTGCCTGGACCAGTGTGGCCATTGCAAACCCGGGAAACGCCTCCAAGGGACCAAGTACCTGCTCTCTGCGAGCTGCTCAGCTGTTCACTTCATCCTCCGTTGACAAGGAAACCAAACCGCACTTCTTTTTTTTTTTCTCCAGAAAAACCTTCCACTGCCATCATTTGAAAATTGATTTACGGGGAGGGGAGAGGGAGGAAGAAGGCATAATATATAGATATAAGGATATCTATCATAAAATTATTTCTCGGTTGTTTTTTTTTTTAAAAAAGGCAAATGTGCAAAAGGCATAGTTAATTTAAAGGAGGGGGGTAAAAAGTATTTTGCTTAAAAAGGAACCCAGTAACCAGCTGCAAGAAAAGTTTCATGTTATCAATGGGTGTCAAAAACCGGAAGGAAAAAAACGAATTTCTTGTTACCGGCTTCCAAAAAGGGTAGAAAAAATATATAAAATTAACGTCTTGGCTCAGTGGTTAGCACCAATATCGCAAGACTACAAACTTGTAAACACTGC